TTTTTTTTTTTTTTCTTCAACAACACGATCTAGACTAAACCATATATAATAATTACATCTAATAATATCTTATTGTAACATGTATTATATTATAATTATTATTATTATATTATTAATGTTTAAATTATTAGCCTAAAGTAAAGAGGCGCACGACGGCAAAGCATTTTTTTTGGGCTCCTACGCCCCCCGGGCACGGAACACCCTGTCGACAAACCACGGATCCTCCGATCCAGCTCCGGCATCCACGTCGGGAGCGATTTCATTGAAACGAATGGGCCAATGCATCATTCCCCCCCTCCCGCCATGCTTGTACCTCTCTATCACTCGTCCGTCTTTCTTTCCTCTCCGATTCTATTTCTCTTCTTTTCGTTCGCGTCCTATCTCGAGAAACACGGGGATCTGCTGAAGGCAAATCGGTTTCCATTTTTTTTTTTTTTTTTTTTTTTTTTGTTTTTTTTTTTTTTTTTTTTTTTTTTGGTTTGTTTTTCTTTTCCTCTCTCTCTTTTCTACTCTTCTTTTTGTTCTTCTGTTCGATTTCGTTGTGACAGGAATGATCGATCTTTCTCGAACAACACACGCGCCCACATACACACATACACACATACAGACACACGGAGCTATCGGTACACACTGTCCCGCAACGCGAAACCAAAAAAGAAAAAAAAAACACCACGAAAACGGAATTAATTGGAGTAACATTGAACAACTCTCTGCTTCTCAACACCTAGCACTGTAACGGCTGATTCGTTTTTATTTTTTTATTTTTTCTTTTTTCCTTTTCCATTTTTCGAGCATCTTACTTCTCCGCGTTGGAGAAGAAGAAAACTGGGGACGTTTTTTTTTTTTGTTTTTTCCCTATGTGAACATTTCGTGTATTTTTTTTTTTTTTTCTTTTTATCGGGCTGTAATCCAAGTCCGAGTTCGACGAGCAACGCGCAACGGTACACTGCTGCTCTCCTTCTCGCTTCTCTCTCTCTCTTTCTCTTTCCTGTTCCGGTTCCTTTCAAGGAGTTTGTCGGTATTGGATTCGAGTGACGATCCACGTGTCTCAAAAAACGATTCGGTTAAAGTTTTCGCCGGCTCCCACCGAATTTTTCGATTGAATTGGAGAGAAAGTCAAGATTCAACGTAGTGTTTTTACGTGAATGGAGGGGCCAAGTAAATTCAACCAGCCCTTCGCGCGCACAACAGAGAAAATTCATCGGAAGGGCTGGAGGAACGTCGTAACCCGCGAGGGATATATTGGGTCTTTTTCTTCGATTCGCGAACATGGTGAAAATTCGGGGGGAAATTGGCGAGCGAAGAACGTGTTGCGCGTGTACGGCACCTCGAGAACACCTCGACTATTGAACACTTAGGGTAGTTTTGGGGCCAGGGCCGCCGAGCGAGCGTCACCCTTCGTCTACCTGAATCCTCGACGGTCCGTTCGCCTTTTGATTCGTGCAGAACCAGAGGAACCAGAGAACGTGGCAGACACGCCGAGGCTGTTCGTTGATTTTTCGGGGTCAGGTTTGGCAAACGACGATGAAATTTAGTCGACAAGCTAAATAGTTTGCCACTTACTTTAACGCTTCGCCCCCCCGGATTCTCCGCTCGAAACTCGAAACGAAGCGCCCTCTTCACTAACGTTGCCGGCACATGCGCGCGCGCGCGTACACATCGAAAAGCCGCGAAAGCGAGCAACAAGGATCTTGAAAATCGACAAAAAAAAAAAAAAAAAAGAGACGAAAGAAGAGAAACGAAAACTTCAATTCTAACGTTTTTCTTTTTTCCTTTTTTTTTTTCTACCCGGTATGCTTGGTGTGTTTCTCTTTTCACATCGAAGAAGCTCGAAACAAGACCTGATATGATCGCACGTCTCGGATCGTCCCGGCCCGAAAAGTCGCGTGGCAGGCATTTTAAGTCACCTTCGTTCGTTTTGTTCACTTTTTTTTTTCTCTTTTTTTTCTTTTTTCTAAATTTTTCTTTTTTCGTGTTGCTGTCGATGGCTTGTTGTTGCTCCTAAAAAGAACTCGAGGGGGCGTTGTTTCGATACTGACACACACATACACACGACAGACCGCGGGTTAGTGGTACAGGGCGTTCTGCGTTCGGGGGTCAAATATGATTTTATAGCGAGCTGTCCCGCTGGCGTTTTTTTTTTCTTTTTTTTTTTCTTTTTTTTAAACCTATGAAGAAACTAAGAGAATGAATTTATACCTTTTTTTTTTCCCTTTACTTTTTAGTTTCGCCTAAGTAAGAATGTCTTTTTTTTTTTTTAACTGCGTTTTTTCATCTGCTTGCATTTTTTTCTCGGTTCCGTCTTTTTTTTTTTTTTTTACTCTGTGCTTCCTCTACGTCGTTATCATCCTCTATTAGCATTTTTTTTTTTTTTTAATATCCCCTTACCTCGACTATCGTAGCCCCCACAGTTGCGCGACTATTTTTAAATTCTCGCAATGTCTACTTAGCTCGCCATCTCTTTTTTTCCTTTTCTTACTTTAATTAATAACATTTTCGTAATTCATTTTTGTCCAGTTTCGCCGGTTAGTGCGATGGCACGCAGGTCGTCCAGTTCAATGGCCTACCAGAGCCGCGGCCACCGCTTTACCATTTTACTCGCGCGCGATTTACAACAACGTATATCTTCTCTATTCTGACTGTGTTTGTCTTCTTCTTTGTTTCTTCGTTTATCGACGTTATATGTATCTTGATACGTAAGATCCGTTGATAGTGATTCGGTCGATAGTTACTATACTGCCTTCGTTCCCCGTGCTCGCCCCCGCGCGTCTATTTCTTCTTTTACCTCTTCCTTTCGTCTTTTCTTTTCCTTTTGTTCCGTTTGTAGTCCATGCCTGGCCCGTTTCTCTATCGCGTAGCGATTCTCATACAGAGACTCACAAACTACTAGAATATCTACACGATGCGACTTCTGGCTTCTTCGATAGCTACTCGGATTTTAAAGACTCAAACCGAACGACATTACTTGTAATAAGAATAATAATGAGTACTGTAAACGCGCTTTCATTATTTCTGTATTCTTATTCTTTGTTTTTTTTTTTTGCTGTTTTTTCATCATTTTTTAAATTTCTTTAAGGTTCTTTTTTTTTATTTATTTTCTCTCTCTCTTATTCTCTCTCTCTTTCACACACACATACACACACGCACACACATACTCTCGCTTGCTCCCTCTCCGTCGCTCTCTCTCTCTCTCTCTCTCTCTCTCTCTCTCTCTCTCTCTCTCTTTCTTTCTCTCTCTCTTTTTCTCTCTGTCGCGTATGAATAACTTCTAGGGCGTGCCAATCTAGCGTACTGATTTTCTCGTTTTTTTCATCATTATTATTATTTTTTTTTCCTTTAATTAGCAATTAAGAAGTTTCTATTTAAGACTGTTAGGTGTCACGAGACGTCTATCTGTAAATACGTTTTTTTCTTTCGTGTGCTTCGACTGCGAATGATATTCTCGTCATCGATTCTTAAACTTCTGCATCAATGTAACATTTATAATACCGCTCTTATTTATTTATTTATTTTTTTTTTTATACCGTGACTACATTGCATTTTTTAATTTTTTTTTTTTCTTTTAAACTCTTAACAAGGGTGTGCCAATCTAGCGCAGTGATCTTTGCTCCTTTTACTTAACGGGATGCCTATATGAATATTTTTTTTTTTTTTCTCTGATATCACAAGACGTCTACGGAATGCTCCATCGATGCTAAATTATCCGCTTTTTAATTTTTTTTTGTTTCTTTTTTTCTCTCCTCTAAAAAGGTTCATTCATGTCGTACACCCGTCGACGTTCATGCGGACGTGCGCGTTATCCGACGATTTGTCGCCATTTTTTCAGTATCCCTCCGTTGCCAAAAAGATACACGGGTGTCCTACTGGCCGGGCTTGTACTCTTCATACTTCACAGTCTCTCTCTTTCGCCTCCTCGGTGACTCCCGTCCTACGCCGTTTTTATTGTTTTCATTTTCCTTCTTACGCTCTGTGTGTGTCTTAGGCCCTACTGCGTTCATTTTCTTGTTTCTCGATACGTTCGTCGATAATCCGATGGCAGCGCCAGACCCTCATAATCCTCGTGAATTCGTTTCAGACGTGTGTGTACCCGGAAGCTTCAAATCTTCCCGACGACGTTGCTCGTAGAACCCTTTTTATTTTATTTATTTATTTATTTATTTATTTTTGTTGTTGTCTTCGTCGATTCTTTCGATGTTTCTCGAACGACGATCTCACTCTCTCTCTCTGTTTTAATGATACACCGGCACGCGCGTGCAAGCAACTCGCAGAGCCAGAACGACGAACGTTTCTTCCCCTTTCTCTATCTTTTTCTCGTCGTACACCTGTTCTTCCCACATTTATCCTCTTCCCTTACACGTTTCGTGTTCTCGTTTTGTACTTTGCGCAAACATCTAAAATGAGAGTGCTCTCGCAAGCCACGTTTTGTCTACTCCCACGCGAGAAGCGTTTCTTTTTCTTTTTTTTTTTTCTTCTTTGTTTCTTCGACGAAACAACAGCAAGACACTCTATTATATTGTAATGACTGAGTGGCGATGGTTTTCGTTCGACGATTCGGCTCCAGCTGATGCGAATTATCCCCATCTAAAATAATCTCGTCATCACGCGACAGTACGATTAGACCCGAATAGCACGCCCCATGATAAAATATATATATATATATATATATTTTTTATATATATATACACATATATATATGTGTGTGTGTGTTTGTGTGTGTATTTAACGTGAGTGATCTCTCATCTTCCTCTTCTCTTCCTCTCTTCTCGCCATTTGTTTTTTGGTTGTTTCACTATATTCCTCCTTCTCTCCGGTTTTATTTCGCATATCCGGTTTTTTTTTGTTCTGTTTTTTTTTCTTTTTTACTTATTAGTTTCTCTCTGTGTATATTTGCGTGGGTAATATGCATATCTCACTCTCTCTTTCTCTCTCATCATTCTCTCTGCATCTCTCGCTCTTGTAACTCTTGCGCGCGCGCTCTGCGTGTATGATTAAATTCTCCATCGCGTTTAATAGTAAGTTTCTTGCTCGAGCCAGCCTCCTGGATTCCGGCGGAGGTAGAATCGTCTCGTCTCGTCGTAGATGAAGATGGCGAACATGAAGGGAAGGGCGGGCAGCCACCAGACGAATCTGAAATACCACAACACACGTATTTACACTAACTCTGAACACTAACATCACTGATCATCATTTGAATCTTTATTTGTTGCTTCAAGTTCTCAACTCCCTAACTAACGGGAAACCATGAAAATCTGCGTGTTTCACGACGGTTCACTTTATCGTTAATAGCCATCAGAAAGGGTGAAATGTAAAATAACCGCGAGTCAAATTTCACGTTGGAAAACAGTTTGTCGACGACTTTCTTTGGTTTTTTAACAGCACCCCTTGCGCTGGACAACTGGTTCGCGGACCATAACGAGTGACCGAACCGTAACACAATAATTCGTCGCTTTCTTCTTCATTTGAACTCGCCGGTACGATATCACTGGATAGAAGTTATTGAGAAGTAATAAATTTATTATTTGCTTTGCCTGGATTATATTATACTATACTTAAATATACTTAAAATTGAGGGAATATTGCAATTTTGGGACAAACGTGGCACGTCATTCCAGCGCAAGAGGTTAAGGCTTCCTTAAACCACTTGCGCTGGCAACTGATTGCGGACCATAACGAGTGACCGAACCGTACACAATAATTTGTCGCTTTCTTTTTGAACTCGTCAGTATTATATCACTGGACAGAAATGATTGAGAAGTAATAAATTTACTTTGCGTGGATTATATTATATTATATTATATTTAAATATACTTAAAACTGAGGGAATATTGCAATTTTGGGACGAACGTGGCACGTCATTCCAGCGCAAGAGGTTAACGGCAACTAATTGCGTACTATAACGAGTGATCGAACCGTACACGATAATTCGTCGCTTTCTTCTTTTGAACTCGTCGGTATGATATTCATTGGATAGAAATTATTGAGAAGTAATGAATTTATTATTTGCTTCGCCTGGATTATATTTCAATATACTTAAAACTGAGAAAATGTTGCAATTTTGGGACAAAAGATTCTCGACGTGCGTGGCACGTTATTCCAGCACAAGAGGTTAACGGCAACTAATTGCGGACCATAACGAGTGACCGAACCGTACACGATAATTCGTCGCTTTCTTCTGAACTCGCCGGTGTGATATCACTCGATAGAAATTATTGAGAAGTAATAAATTTATTATTTGTTTTGCCTGGGTTATACTAAAATATACTTAAAACTGAGGGAATATTGCAATTTTGGGACAAAAGATTCTCGACGTGCGTGGCACGAGGTTAAGGCTTCCTTAAACCACTTGCGCTGGCAACTGATTGCGGACCATAACGAGTGACCGAACCGTACATAATAATTTGTCGCTTTCTTCTTTTGAACTCGTCAGTATGATATCACTGGACAGAAATTATTGAGAAGTAATAAATTTATTATTTGCTTTGCCTGGATTATATTATACTATACTTAAATATACTTAAAATTGAGGGAATATTGCAATTTTGGGACAAACGTGGCACGTCATTCCAGCGCAAGAGGTTAAGGCTTCCTTAACAACTTGCGCTGGCAACTGATTGCGGACCATAACGAGTGACCGAACCGTACATAATAATTTGTCGCTTTCTTGTTTTGAACTCGTCAGTATTATATCACTGGACAGAAATTATTGAGAAGTAATAAATTAATTATCTGTTTTGCCTTGGATTATATTTCAATATACTTCAAACCGAGGAAATATTGCAATTTTGGGACAAAAGATTCTCGACGTGCGTGGCACGTTATTCCAGCGCAAGAGGTTTAAGGAAAACAGACGCATGTGAGACTCACTTGAGAGGGAACATGCGGAGACCTTTGTCCATGCCGGGTGTGTAGCTTAGGAACGCGGCGAGGGCGGTCTCGAACACTAAACCAAAGTTCAGGGCCCAGTTTCTCATTCCCTGGTGGATGATGGAGTTACGTCGCGTCTTACAAACGATCAAATCGGCCCACTGGACGATAACGATCGAAACGAAGAAGGCTGTGTGGCAGGTGAACTCCAGCGTCTTACGATCCCTGTACGTCTGCCGAAAGAGACAATCAGAATATACATATAAGTGAAATCATGGCTGAAGTCGCTCGAACTTTCCAATCATCCGAGAGAGAAACGGAGGAAACTTTATGGAGGTATTTCTCTTGAAATTTACCCATTCCTGGCCGTAGCTGTCACGGAGATCGTTGATAGCCTTCGAGTCCCACATTTTCCGGATACCGAACAGATGCAGAGGCAGGAACCCGTTCTCAGCCATGATCACGAAGTAGACGAAGAAACCGGCGGCTGCCTGGATCATACCGATCTGACCATACGCCATCGAAATAAGCCTGTGCATAGAGAATCCCATTTAGATCGTTGTCGCTCGCTCGTACCGAGTCACGGGTCTTGCAATTGGATTCTGACTTTCAAGGAACTTCTCTACATCTCGACGT